ATCGAAATGGTATATTTAAGTATTTCACACTCACAAAAAAAGAAACCTATCATTCTATAAGTATTTGAAGAACTTGTAGCATTCCGCCACAATTTAATTCTTCGTGTTGTTTCAGTTATTTGTTGTGAGGAGAGGAAATCCACTATACACTTCAAAGAAAAGTCCAGAGATATAGCTTTTGAGTGGATTGTTTTATTTTGTTTAACTTTATTACAGCGTTTCGACCACTCTTGGGGCCATCATCAGGTAAGTGTCGTCTATTGTGTGAAATACTACGTGACAATAGACGACAGTTACCTGATGATGGCCACAAGAGTGGTCGAAACGTTGCAATGAAACAAAACAATAAAAATAAACAATCCACTCAAAAGCTGTATCTCTGGACTTTTATTCAATGTTTGAGTTAGTTCTTCTTTTTGTCGAATTGTCTTCCTTTGGTTAATCTAGAAAAGTGTGAGATTATCCATACGAACTTGAGTGGCATTATGAAAAGTGTGAGATTATCCATACGAACTTGAGTGGCATTATGAAAAGAAAACCTGGTGATATCATCTTCTCTAAGAAGGCTAAGCATAACTCAATGGTTAGCATACCTGAATATAGACCTGCGCAGCCATCGTTCGCGTCCGTTGAGGTCAAATACTACTGTCTGCGCACACAATAATAGCTCAAATGTTGACGGTGGAGACTGTTGGCTAGCTGACTTCCCCTAAGTTTATCGGCTTAACGTTAGGGACACGTAATGCAAATAGCCAATGCGCGAAAATCCGAAACAAACAAACAAACCTATAAAAATACTAGAGCCTTCGCTGAACGAGTACTTGTTATTTGACTTACTAATAATTAGCTGCAGTACTTCGGTACAGTTAGTTTGAATATTTTGCTGAATGTGACATTTCAATATTTATTTTCTACCTTGTTCAGTTACTACCTGAGAGGTTTATATTGTTTATTGGTAAACACAAAAATACACGATGGGCTATACGTGTTCTGCCCACCGCGGGTTTCGAAATCCGATCTTTAGCGTTATAAGCTCTTAGAATTACGTCTGAGCCACCAAAGGTCTACCTGATTGGTACTTTAATAAACAACCAATACTACCATCTGAAAGAAGAAACACTAACGTATTTGAAGAATTTGAATCACTACTGTCTTCTTGGAGTTTGAAAATGATAAAATCCTACATGGAATTTACGGTTTAATTCAGAAACAAAAGTTGGAATGAAAAACAAGGAGTATTCTGTTCAAGATACTCACTGTAATACATCGAAATAACTTTAAAATCAAGATTGTAACTTGAATAAGAAGTTAAAACGTTTCGATATTCACAGTATACGTCACTTCCTTATTAAATATAAATGTATTCTTTTCTCCTCTTGACAGATATACATGTAGATATGATTGAATAGGTCGGCCTGTACTCTAAAGAGTACTTACCTAACCTTTCAGATAAAGAATATTAGCTCCATAAATCATTTCGGTAGAGCAGGTGATGAATCGATATTAACATTGCGTGGTTTGTGGAACAGTTACGTCTAACTAGGTATGGAATCGATATTAACATTGCGTGGCTTGTGGAACAGTTACGTCTAACTAGGTATGGAATCGATATTAACATTGCGTGGCTTGTGAAACAGTTACGTCTAACTAGGTATGGAATCGATATTAACATTGCGTGGCTTGTGGAACAGTTACGTCTAACTAGGTATGGAATCGATATTAACATTGCGTGGCTTGTGGAACAGTTACGTCTAACTAGGTATGGAATCGATATTAACATTGCGTGGCTTGTGGAACAGTTACGTCTAACTAGGTATGGAATCGATATTAACATTACGTGGCTTGTGGAACAGTTACGTCTAACTAGGTATGGAATCGATATTAACATTGCGTGGCTTGTGGAACAGTTACGTCTAACTAGGTATGGAATAGATATTAACATTGCGTGGCTTGTGGAACAGTTACGTCTAACTAGGTATGGAATCGATATTAACATTGCGTGGCTTGTGGAACATTTACGTCTAACTAGGTATGGAATATCAATTCTTCTTTTCTCTAAAACAGAAAGGTACATTATAATCTCTCTATCTGTCTACCTACTATTTGTCTTTCTATCTATCTATCTGATTGACCATTTATTTATATAACGATTTGTTGTGCAGTCTATCTGTCTCTTTGTGTATCTAATACCTCCATATCTAATCATTTACTTTACTAGCTACTTTCACGCTCATTATTTAATAAATTTTGATATATTTATATTCTTCGTGAAGTAATTCTCAGGATGGCTTAAATTACTCTGTATTGTTACAACCTTGAAACTTTCCCCGATCATTAATACTAAACACCAACCCTCAGATGACTAATGTCGTCAATAAATGTAGTTAGTTTCTTAGAAGAGTAAATAATGTGTACTTTCTACAGAAATAACAAACAGTCCTTCTATAACCGCTCCAAAATAGTATTCTATTTGTACATAAATACAAAAGCGAAAGGAAGATATTACCGGAAACCCATTTTAAAGGACACGTTATCGTTGTACTTAGCGCGTGGTTCACGTGCTAGGTTCCCATGCGAGTCTCTGCTTAAGCCGTAAATCATTCAAGCACGTTTTCTGCAACAACGCTGTGATTAAAGCTTCAAGGCTTATCCCTTTGACGAAATCTAAATTTTATGTAATAGAGAAAGAAACGTTGTTTGTCCAAAGCTAATTCTGTTTGTGAAACTATAAACTAACAACTGTTGATATGATCAATTAGCACTCTCGTTATACGTAATATTGTATTTCTAATTTCTAAAGCCCATTCAGTATTTCCTTAATAATTTCTGGTTAATTAACTCTGTTAGCTTTCTTGCATCAATTTGTGTCTATTTTAAATGATGTAATAAGAAACATAAAACGCCGCAGAAGTTTACGACCATTGATCTTCTATTATTGTGGTGACTGGAAGTAAATTGATATTCAGAGTTATATTTCCCCCTTTTTACTAGACTTAACCCATTTGCTACTCATATTAGCATTTGAGTATTAAAAATGTGAAACCATCTAAATTATAACTGGACTCTCTAATTACACATTTCAGACTTAAGCGAGTAATATTCAGATCTACAATTTCATTTGGAATTTGAGGACGTTATTCACTGCGTACGTTACCAGTACTGCTGCAAACGTTATGTTACAGAGAAGTTTATTATTCTACCTGAAAGTCCATTCAACGTTGGGAAGATTATGTATTCTACAGAACAATCCAACCAATACGGAGAAGTTTGGTATTCTACAGAACAATCCAACCAATATGGGGAAGTTCGGCATTCTTGAAAACAACCAACATGCGAAAGTTTATGCATTCTACAGAGCAATTCAACATGTTCTGTGGTTTATGTATTCTACAAAACAATCCAACCAAAGTTGAAAAGCTTAGAATTCTACACGGAACAATCCAACTAGCTTTGGGAAATTTATGTACTGTATAGAACAATCCAACATGTTGTGTAGTTTATGTATTCTACAAAACAATCCAACCAAAGTTGAAAAGCTTAGAATTCTACACGGAACAATCCAACTAACTTTGGGAAATTTATGTACTCTATAGAACAATCCAACATGTTGTGTAGTTTATGTATTTCACAGAACAATCCAAGCAGTGTTGAAAGTTATAGAATTCTACAGAACAATCCAATCAAATGACTTGTTTTATATGTTTAATTTTTTGATAATTTGATTTTCGAAATATGTTGAGCAACTTAGGCACTTAATAATGTGGATATCCATTTTTAACCCTCTTACTGGTTGGGTACTATTATGTCTCAAGTAGCCAGCATTTTACATGTTCCAGGAGTGAGCCGTGTAACTTTTTTCTCCAAGCGACTATATAATCTGAGCTAAAGAATTATCCCGTAGCGGTTGCTAGAAAGACACTTTTTAATCATTTGTTATTGCTATTGTTTTTTTGTTTTGTTTTTGCGTAAAACTATACAAATCTAATTGCGCTATGTCCACCATGGGGTACAGAATCTCTAATTTTAGCATAGCAAGTCGTAAACTTACCGTTCACCAACAGAAGGACTCTTACTAATTTTAACTATTTGGTGACCATAACATTTTGAATTGAGCTCGGGTATAGCGACAGTCACAAATTGTATAACTTTACACGTGGCTCGAATAAAAGCATTCAAACGCTATAAGTATTTCGTAATACTAGAAAAAACATATAAAACGAAACATTAGAAGAACGTGAATGTGAAATAAGTCTGTTAAAACCTTTTCTTTGATTCTCTTGAGTATGTGTAAAGTTCAATAAACTTCCAAGTACAGTGCGATAACCGTGTTTGTTCGTTTGTTTATAATTAAGCACAAAGCTACACAATGGGCTATCTGTGCTCTGCCCACCACAGGTATCGAAACTCGGATTCTAGCGTTGTAAGTCCGCAGACATACCGCTGGGGTGGGTGCGACAACTGTGCGATATTTGTAAAATTTTTCACAAATATCATCTATATATAACCCCTAGTGTGATCTGAAAGAGACTTAAAAGAATTGGTTTGACTAATATCGATTCAATGATGCCTGAAGATTTGAAGGGAGAATATAAATTTTTGAGGTTTGATGAGAGAACATAAAACTCTGTGGTTTGAGGAAAGAACTTAACTCTTGAGATTTAAGACGGTAAGAAACCTTTAAGTACGAAAAGGGAATATGTACAAAAGTTAGATTTTGGGAAGTGCTGTTGTGAAAGCATTCTAACTCGTACATGGATATATATTGAACTGAATGAAGCCTTATTGTTGAAACTTGTCACGTACAAAAATGAAATCATAAATTTTACTATTATGTGAACCTGCATAAGCTGTGACTAAAACATATGAGCAACAAATTTGAGTCCAGTAGAACTAATAGAGAAATAGCTAATAAAAATTCCACTTTTACCGTAGACGAAGAGGTAATGATAGGGAAAATGTATTCATAGTTAAGCGCCATTTAAAGGATAAAATATACTTACCTAGCAAAAAAAGAAGCTGCAGCTGAAGGTTGGGAATATTCCACAACACGCCAGCAAGGAGAACTGTAAGACGTTCCCTGTAGAAACGATGACTGGGAGAACCCACAATAGGAGAGCGAATGTGGCAAAGAGCAGCTTTGTGCTCTAGAAACGTTTGGTAGTGTGTCAACCCCCACCGATGCATCTCTTGGGGGCATTGATATCCCCCCAAGGCCACCTAAAGCATCCCGAATATTGCTACTTGGAGAATAATCGGGGTCGGCTGATGAATTAATGTCGTTGATAGTCAGTGAGCGATGATCATCTAAGTGATGTGTTGTATACCTGACCGTTCTCGGGCTGATGTTAAACGAGTCGTTAATCACCGGAGAATCTCCACGGTTGGCAGACACTTTCACAGAAGTAGGTGGTATCTGAAAGAAACGAATATAGAATTTACTATTTCTCTAAACAGGAAGAATCTGTACAACTGGTAGAAATTTTAAGTGTTAATAGTGTGTGTAAACTAATTAATTCATTTTCTATTCAGCTGTCTATATAAGCAAATAAACGCCATCTTCGTGGTTGTTTGACACTTGCAAGAGAAGGAATATGATGATTGAAAGAAGAAGGAAGTACAGAAGTCACCTTCAATCTATACTCATAGTTGAAATGTAGAGAAACTTGCATTTGAATAAGTTATATGTAGCTTGTTGGGTGAGTTTTCATATCAGTATTTCTATTCAGTCAGTCCCATTACTTTTACATTCTGTAATCCTCCATCTCCTAACACCCTATATGTCTGCTTCTGTCGAATTTTTCTAAAACTGTACTGTAAAGTACTTTAGAGAAATAAAATTATTTAATAAAAATATTTTCAATTAATATAATTATGTAAAACTCTTTACATTATTATCTTTAACTCTTCTGTCTTGTCAATACCTTCTGTCCATGTGGTACATATTAATATGTTGTTGGTAACTGAAGCTTTGAATTGGTACCTTTCGCAACAAAATATTAATTGAATACTTTACATATCACACAACTGTGTTTAAATAATACTGAGTATCAGAAACTTCAACGGTTTCGAACTATTAAAAATGTCTTACTGGAGCGGCAGATTGCAAAATTCCTTTAGGTAACTCATGGAAATAAGGAAAAATAACTAATTTCTTTAAGGTTTCATATAACACTATTACAAGGGTAGGTAGGTTACGGCTTTTGCCAACAATTAATTAATACTATTGATATGTAGGTTTGTATGAGTTGAAGTAAATATTCCATTTTGTGTAGGTTTGTTTTGGTTAAAGTCAGTATTTTTCTTTATGGAGGTTTGTATGGGTAAAAGTGAATATTACTCTTTATGTATGTTTGTATGGGTTGAAGTAACTATCACTTCTTGAGTAGGTTTGTAGGGGTTAACGTGAATATTACTCTTTATGTATGTTTGTAGGGGTTGAAATGAATATTACTTATGGTGTAGGTTTGATATGATTGAAGTAGATGTTGGTTTTTGTGTAGGTTTATATTGGTTGAAGTAAGTATAACTTTTTATGTATGTTTGTATGAGTTGAAGCAAACAAAACTTTTGTGTAGGTTTATATGGGTTGATATTAACACTACTATTTGAGTAAGTTTGTATGGATTGAAGTTAATATTAATTTTTGTGTAGGTTTGCATGGATTGATGTGAATATTATTTTTTGGGTGATTTTGTATATGGACATTGTTATTTTTTTAGTTTTTGTCTTCCACTACCTCAAAAATATATAATAAATATATCGTGAGTGACGCCATTGTTACCTATAGCGATTTCTTTCGTCATGAAAAATTAATGTCAAAAGAAATTCTTAACAACTGACGAAATAATGTAAAATGTTTGTCTTTAGCCGCGGCTACAGAATGATGTTTATCAAAACTTTCACGAAAAAAATCCATGGTACTTCTAAACAATAGTGAAATATGTGAAAATGTCCAGTCTGATATTGAAATATGCCTTGATTCCAAGGAAGACATCTGGAAACTTCTGTGATGTAGAGAACAAAATTTCTGCATCAAATTATCTGACATTATAGGCTCGGCAAAACGGATGGGACTCAACTTCCCATTTGGACCAATAAATCGGAGCAGTAAATGGTCAGAAACAGGCTTCATAAGGTTGGCCTATACCATCTCCATCAGTAGCTTAGTAAAACGATGTGTGTGTGAATGTCTTGTTCACAAACGTTTCTCAATTCAAACTGCATCCGGATAAAAGACATGAACACACTTGGAGAATGGCTAGAACCTGATCAAATTCTATGGATAAAAGACAAATATGTGACAGTGGTGGCATTCTTAGAGATCAACATGGCGATCAAACTGACCTTTATGTGTTACGACGTGGCAACAATGATTCCATACAATATAGGGGTTCTGTCCTAGAACCATTTGTATTGCCATATTTGCAGATACATTTTGTCAGAACTTTTTTTCTAATGGATGTTTAACTGCTTAGAAACTTCTTGGAAATAATGTTCTGGGTAGAATGCTCACCAGATTTAAGTCTGGTCGAATATGTATGGGATGTTCTTAGAAGACGACTGACAGTACGTAAGTCTCCTCCAAGCAGTATTGATGAACTGGAAGTAGTTCTGATGAACGAGTGGGCTGTATTACCCCAGCAATTCATTGATTTACTCGCTTATTGCATGCATTTCACGTCGCTCCACTACACGAATTAGCGCCTGAGGTGATCATACGCCTAATCAACAAACATCTTTTCGTCATTTACTGGGCTGCAAAGCCTGCAGTTCTAAATGAACGTATATGGGCATGGGTTTCGATAATAGATATCTGCATGTTCTGATCAAACAACCTGTTTTCAATAAAACTGGCGCTCCACACTTTGAGGGCGTACGTGGGCGCGCTGAAAAAAATGCCTGTCAAACCCTACTAATTGATCATAGTCAAGAGTAGCCCAAGAGTTAGCGGTGAGTGCTGTTGATTAGTTAATTTCACTCTAGTATATCAGTTCAGAACTGAGAAATGTTATTTGCATATAGCCATTGTGTAGCTTTGGGCGGGAGTTCTACAAAACTACAAAATCTCAATACAAAATTAGTTAAAAAGTGTGATTAGTACTACCTAATAAGGAGTAGTGTCTTGTCATAACTAGAATATAAAAACATTCTGTATGTCGCTTGACTGTTTTCAGCAGTAAATATATATATATAGCAGATACACCGCCTGTCATATATGAAAGTCTGTGTATGTACTATATGTGTAAGTATATAGTATTTGACTATTAAATCTTATAAAATCAAACCTTTAGTAACTCAATAAAACAACATCTAGTTATTTTCGGAATACCCATAGACGACATAGGAAAGCTACTATGCATTTAGATAGAATTTGAGGAACATTTTGTTCGTAATGGTACGTCAAGCCAAGCTTAAAAATTTCAGTCCACGTGGCCATATTGACACAAGGTGTACATTAATAATGATCTGTACCTTTCCTGTCATATACTTGTAAATCGCAAAGATAAAAAACCACTTCTTTTACTCAAAAATAATGGAGAAAGTTCGCATTAAAGTGCAATATCACATATGACAGAAATATTAAAACAAGAAAAACAGTGTTTACTTATTATCAAACCCAAACATGTTTCATATATCACAAATGACAGTAACAATAATACATAAAAGTGCTTACTTAGTTTCAGACCCAAATACGTTTCACATATCAGAAATAACAGTAACAATAATACAAAAACAGCATTTACTTAGTTTCGGACCCAAACACGTTTAACATTTCACAAATTACAATAACAATAATAAAGAATCACTGTTTACTGAGTTTCAGACCCAAACGCGTTTCACACAGGTGCCGATTTAAACACAAATGTTTTCCTGAACTTAAAATACTAACAACAGAAACTACTAACTCAACAAGTTTCTTAACATAAAAATAATGATTATATTACACAAGTAATCAACCTTGTAATGGCAAAGTGAATTTATTCTAAATGAAACGTGATCGCTTATAATTCTCGAATCGCAACTTTAGAGTGAGTTCTAAGATTGTAAGTATAAGAAGCCTACATATTAATATCTTCTTCAATCTCGCCTAAGGAAGACAAGAACTGAGACACACGAAAAATATTAGTTCCGTTGGGTGACAGTTTTGCACTATGGACTTACTTCGGATGATTTAGCTCTAAAGTCCAATACACAACTTATCTTAAAATCAAAACAAAATTTTCAAAGAACCACATTGTCCTGCAATCTCAAGATCGCAACTATCACTTCTTGAGATAAAGTTTACTGGTCAAGTTATTTGGTTTATTGATGTAACTTTGAATACTATTATTATTAGTTTAATATATCCTTTTACCTGTTCATAATTTGGTTTTATCCAGGCTTTAACATTTTCTTCTAAGTATTGTTGAGCTTGTTGGGCGATAGGTGGCGATGCATTTTCAAGTGTACCACAAGGTGTCGTTATTGAGTTCCCTAAACAGTTGTTTCTTGTATAACGTGACATTCTGAAATAATAAAAAAATGTTACTCAGTCTTCTCAGAGATACCACCTTAACTTGCACCTGCACTTAAAAGTATTCCCTCGAAGTACAATGAAACAATAATGAACTAAATACAGCAACGTTAGTTGAATTAAATGCTCAAATATTGTGGCAGCTGATGGATTAATTATGCTTTATCGTAAATAATAGCGTTGTATGTATGTGATGATGTCGAAAATGTTATGTACTGTGACAGACAATTCTTATTCAAATGAATCATGTGGCACGGGTTTATTACAGACCTTAGATGCAGCTGTGCTTGTTTCAATAACGTGATAATATAAAACATACCTCCAAAACTAAGAAAGTATAGCAATAAAGTAAGTTACGCGGCAACTTGCATCTCCAGAAGAACAGTGACAGTCAATTCTGATTCCGTATGGATTAATACTAATGTGAATGATTCTAATTATAATATCCGTGGACATATTTCAGTAAACTAAAACATCATCTTTAAAAGATTATTCAAGAGCGAGTTTTAACCAAGACACAAAATAAATTCGTTCAAAAGATTGGATTTCTTTCGTTTATTATAACAGTTATGGTACGACGAATTTAAACCGTTCTCTGTTTTCACTTTTGTCTAACTCTCAACATTGGCAAAATAACCACAACTCTGTCATATCTTCCAGGATTTTCTCATACGAAGTTTTACTTTGCTGAAGCTTCGTGCGTTACAATAACAACTTTTAAAAGGAAAACAATTATTTATGAATAATTAAAAAAACAAACAAACTAGAACTCGACAAAAAAATTAGATAGTTCAATAAATCATAATAAAATGTTGAATTGTATTTATAGAAAATTTTGTGGTGTCTAGAATATCAACTATTTTGGTAAATTCTCTACCACTCATAACAAAATAATAAATATCTTTACAAGAAAAGTAAAACCTTTGCTCAAACAAGGTAAAACGTGTACCCATTCTATACTAAGTTTCCTATTTTCAGGGCTGTTATTTATTTAAAAAAAAACGTCAAAAATAATTACTTTAAAAATTTTGAAATTTAAAATAACTGTTTTAAGAAACTGAGTTTTTTGTGTATATTATATTTTTTGTTGTAGAGACTGTTTTTATTTTTGGTCAATGCAATAAATTGAAATTCATAAATAACCGTAATTGTCATGAAATGCATTGCGAAGTTTTCTCTTGTTAATCGTTTCAACGAAAGACAAATTCGTTAGAGTTTACTAAAATAACTTGTTTTCGTCTGCTTTAATATATCATCTGAAAATTATAGAATTTTAGATATCTTTAATAGCGTTATAGTTAAGTGCTATTTATACGCTCTCTTTTAAAACCATCTGCACACAGTTACTTTCAAAACCTTAAAATGAAATTAGTAATGATATCTATATTTTGTACAATTACTTGTTATCAGTAATGGTATTATTAGAAATGTATAATATAGCCTTCTTAAAGCGCTAATAGTTGTTTAAAGAGACAATGTAGTGTGTTTAAAATGATAAAATCTGTTTAAGGAGAAAAAGACAGTTTAAAGTGTTTGTTTGTTTTTAAATTTCGCTCAAAGCTACACTAGGGCTATCTGCGCTAGCCGTCCGTAATTTTGCAGTGTAAGACTAGAGGGAAGGCAACTAGTCATCACCATCCACCACCAACTCTTGGGTTACTCTTTTACAAACGAATAGTGGGATTGACCGTTACAGTATAACGCCCTCACGGCTGATAGGGTGAGCAGGTTTGGTGGGACAGGGATTCGAACCCGCGTTCCTCAGATTGCGAGTCGAATGCCTTAACCACCTGGCCATGCCGGGCAAGTTTAAAGTGAATACGGACATTTTAAATGGATTACACTCTGTTTGATATAATCTGTTTAAAGTGCTACAAATTTATTTTAAATAACAAAAATATATTTAAAGCTGCAATAAGCTATTTAAAGTAAAACCATATAGTAAACTTAGGAGCAGCAAAGTTACAATACTATTTAAAGACTTATTGCTAAATTACAAGTGGTTCTTTACAAAACATGCTCAATTTCGAATGATTCCTTTAAATAGCGCATCATAACTTATGAATAATTTATTTAAATACGACAAACACAATTATAAATGATTTATTTAAATATAATATGCTCAATTATGAATGATTCGTTTAAATGCAACATGCTCAGTTATGAATAATTTCTTTAAATACAACATGTTGAAGTATGAATGATTCCTTTGAATATAACGTATTTATTCATGAATGATTTCTTTAAATATGACATATTCAATTATTAATCATTCATTTAAGTACGACATGGTCCATTACGAATAATCCTTTTCTTTGAATACAATATACTTAATTATGAAAGATTTTTTTAAATGTAAATGGTCAGTTATGAATGACTTATTTAAGTGCAACATTTTCAGCTATGAATAATTCCTTCAAATGCAAAATATTCAGTTATGAATGATTACTTTGAATACAACATGCTCAATTGTGAATTATTTTGAATTAAACACGCGTTCCTCAAATACATCAATATCGAAACACAGAGAGAATTTCTGAAATACTTCGATGATTATGCCCAAATGTTCGATTCTCTAACATTGTGTAATATCTATGTGCAGTATCAACTGGTGTGATAATGAATAATTAATGGCCAGTAGATATCTTATTTCAACAAGTATTTATTATCAATTCAAATACATGTTGCACATGTTTAAATTGTATTAATATAAATACTTCTTCTACACTTCTATTGCCCGTAGAGTATTTTGTCAATTAGTAAATAAAATATTCTAAAACAGAATATAGAAAATTATTTAACAGAAAGCTTTTTTAAACTAGAAACAACGTATAAGAAAGAACTGATGGGCGGATGAGCTAAGACCTTCTTTACACCCACATTGTGATGATTCTCCTTGAATGAGGCTCTTCTGGATATAAATCAAAATTATGTAAAATTGAGTCACGAAAAATAGAAGTATATTTACTCAATATAACAGCGGTAAGAAATTATTACACAAAATGTTTGCATAATCTAGAGCTAGCCTACTGAGAAAAGTAAATACGAAACGTCTGAAATTCTATCAATAGATTCAATTATATAAACCTAACGTGATTTGTCGAATAAGGCGAAGGATATTTCTACTTGTATAGTTTTCAAAGAAATGTGCTTTAAAGTTTTTCTGCATTTACTTACTTATCCCAAAATAGAGAGCTTCAGTTTATGACAAATAAATTAGATTATTTTCTGCTCTTCTTAAACACCAGAATCTAAAATCTTAAGAGACCATAATAAAATTCGCTCTCAAAAAAGTAAGGATTGTAATTGATTGAACATAATCGTGCCAAAGTTAATATTGTTTTCTATGTGATGAAAATATAGTTTTACGAGTAAAAGTACTTATTGGAATCCAATCGTGAAGTTATAACATAACTTATTGGAATCCGATCATGAAGTTATAACATAACTTATTGGAATCCAATGTCTTTCATGAAGTTATAACATATAACTTTCCTATTCTCTTTAATAATGTCTTTAATACCTTTAATGCTAGTTTTATTTTTCTATGCTCTCTTTTGTGTAAAATGTCTTGTAAAATTCATCACGTTTTACATGTTCATGTCTCTTGGTCTTTTGTGTAGGTCCTATTGTGAATTTATGTACGTGTAAAGATATTTTACACAGTTTATTGTAAATACATCCATATGTGATATTTTTTCATTGTTTACACAGTTTATCGTGAAAATATTCATCAATTATAATTTGTTACACATTTTTTTTCCTTGTGTGTTGATCTTTCATACAGTTAAATCTAGTCATGTATGATGGCTCTCAAAGTATTTATTTTTCTGAATCTTTTATTTCTTTATATTTTATACAGATTGTCATCCTGTGTGGCAGTTTTTTACATAACCCTTTTGCAAGTTAATCCATATGTGGTTCAGAGACTTTATATTGTAAACTTATGCGTGGTGGTTTTTCAAACAGTTTCTATTATAACCATAAACCGTGTTTTTCACACAGTTCTTTTATGAATTTATCCATGCGTAGTAATGTTCTTTCATCTTTATTGGTAAATGTTTACATATGTGGTTATTTTTCACACAGTTCATTTTTTTTAATTTGCACACGTTTGGTGAGCATTATAGTACATTTCTACTTATCAGGTCCTCAAAACATAGCAAAGAATACAACTATACACACTGACCAATGAGTTCTAGGTCTACTAGTCTTTCACAAGTCATCAGTCAACGATTTACAAGAGAGACATTGAGCATACTAACAATACATCATTGCATACAAGGTGTTAACATAAGACTTCAATCAACGTTTTACAAGGAAAACATTGGGCATACCAACAATATATCATTGAATACAATGTATTCACTACTTCCGTCAACGCTCTACAAGAGGCACAAGGAAAACATTGGGCACATTAACAACAATCATTGAATAAAATGTATCAACACAAGACTCCATTTAACGCTGTCCAAGAAAAACGTTGAACATACTACGGCAACTTATCATTGAATACAATGTATCAATTTCTATCTCTATATATATAAACGTATTTTGAACACGCAAGCAAAGAAATATATTTAACGTTTTTATTATTCTATAATAGTAACTTACTTTAAATATGGTGTTCGTCTTCTCTTTGGACATTGTTTATGATGGATTTTGAATCTTTAATATTTTTTTTCGTAAAATTAGGGTTTTATTTGGTTGGTGTTCTGAGGCTAAGGAGCAGTTTTTATGCTGCGAAAGCCTTTTCTGGAAAATCTATATTGTATTGATGGAAAAAAGAATATGCCTAAGTTAAAATAAACTCCAGTGGAAAACAAACATTGTATATATATGTATATATAAGTTTGTTGAGACAAGAGCAAAGAATATCTAGTTTTGCACATATAAGAGGAATACATTGAACGAGGGTTAACTATATTTTCAGTAGAAGATAAAACTTAGCTCTTCCGATCTTCATCATGAGTAAAGGAAGAAGAAGAAATT